TCTATCCCGAAAAAAAAATTAAAATAGTGTTGTCGTTGTCACTTACCGCCATCGAACATTTCCATGCAGAACTCCGCTAAGCTAACATCTGTTGTGTGACCCGAAGACTCTCCGTAGGAATTATTCAAGCGCGTTGTTCATGCTGTCTGCTAGATAACAATTTCAGAATAATCTGCAGATCCCTGTGATTATTTGCCTGCTTCGATCGTATAATATCTGCATATTTCTTTTCAAGCATTCTATTACTACACATAAATCTTCATCTCTCTACATCGAGTGTTGCCGGCGTTTAATTGCGTGACTTGTAAAATTTTTAAATAAGAATCTGAGCCAGCGGTAATTTGACGAGTAGCCTTCCTGCAAATTTGCCTTGATGAAATCCCAAGACATAGCCAGTTGTTTTCGTGAGCAAAGACAATAAATATGAGAGGAAAGTGAGATGCAAATGTCTTCTTTTTTTTTAGCTCAATATCAGCTTTACCCTCTCCTGCAGTCTTCGTCTAAATTTTGCAAGGTCTCTCCTTATCTTCTGCCTTGTTCGGTCAGTTTCGAATTCTGAAGCTAGATCATTGGCATCGGCCTCTCCTTCCTTATTCGTATTCGGGGGACCTCATCAATAAACCAATTTTTGTTACGGCAGATAACCGGCTGAAGTATCGAGCGATTTGCTGCTGTATCAACCGGTCAGTCTTAGACAACATTTCTGGCTGGTGTCGTCTCTTAAACTCGATATTTGGGAAATCACATTAGAGGTGGTTGCCTTACTAGTTTCCTCCCTTGTCCAGCACACTAGATGTCTAGGAGATAATTCTCTGCTTTCTGAGAAAAAGGTGGCTGTTTTTGTGTTTTTCCAAAGAGCCCATCCAAAGTCTTCTTGGCTAGTTAGGGATTGTTCGTCAGACTTTTTACCTGAGGTCCGACCTCGAACGTAGCCGTCCCCTATAGAATGGCAAGCCGGTCTTAGTCCATTTCCTCTTGATCTTATCCTAGGCAGAATTTTTTTGTCGGCTTCACTGTCTTTGTCTTTTTTAGGGTACATTTGGATGGCAGCCAATGACTGAAACGTCCTGATACGTCCTTCTTTTAGCAAGAATATCTCGCTTTCTTGTTCCGTCTATGACGGATTGGGTATAGTTCTTGCGATGACCCGCGTTCAGAAATATGTGCACGTTGCTGATAACCACCCGCTTCTACGGCTAGTTTGCTGAAGGTTTCTAATGTGACGAGCCTAGTGAGACCCTGAGGTGCTTCAAACTGTGCCAGTTGGTCTGCGCTATAAACTTGTCGCAGTTCTTAAGTCAGAGGAAGGATCGCCTACCTCTATCTATGTGAGCGTCTCTACAGTACCTGTGTATCCCTATCAATCATATGATATAAAGTTCATCTCAGTCACAAATCACCAGTTAGGAGAACTGATGTTCAGATAGGCGCTCTTCTTGCCCTTCTTCCTTATTCATTGTCGACTCCAAGATAGCAGCTACAGTAGGCGTTCTATTTAGGTTTACAGTTACCTTGCCGCCACCAGAAAGACTCGCCACCAGCTTTGATTTCTTCTGCCATCTGCAGATTCAGCTCTCTCTCACTTTATGTCTCCGATTTTTATGAGGAGGATAGTGGCATTTACGAACCCGAAGGTCTGAATCTCACACCAAGTTGTGCACGATATTTGAGGTACATCGTGAAATCGCGGCCTTCGTCATCTCCAAATAAGCCACTACGCGCTAGAATAAGCTTCATCTCGGACGAAACGCATGTTTGGGATACATCGACGTCTCTCAAATGTTTTTTTTAAAGCTGTATACCCACGAATTTAGAGGTGTGAGCTGTTGCCGTCCCTGGCCTGCGCGAGAAAAGTAACATTTGGTTGTACAGTTAGTTGCAAATGAACAAGACAACTGCACCATCTTGACTTACCAATTCGTGTGTTAGATTGAATTGAGGGCTTTTTAGACACTCGATTTCTTATATGGTATCACTATGAAGACGTAATACAACTGATACACCTACACTGCATAGGATTAACAATGTCTGTTGTGCTGTTGCGAGAAGGAGGAAAATATTACCGGAAGTGTACGCTCTTTTTAAAAAGAGTTTCAAAGACGTTTCAGAAATGTCTATCTTTGATCGGCTGTCACAAAAAAATGATCCCCACTTAAATTTACTAGGAAAAATGAACTTACCAACTGCTTGTTGAAAAAATTGGAATTCATTTGACCGATACGCCGGTTGTTTTCTTTTTCCTCGGGCTGCTATGAAACAGTTCATAAATTGACTAATGAATAAATTGTTTTGAAATACCGTTCGGGATTTGCCTTTTTTTCTGCGTGCAAATCAAGGGTAGACAAAGTTTTTAAAACATTTGACTAGAATTTCATGGAGTTCACCTCGATAATTCTCGTCGGCAAGAGTCAAGACGCGCCAAGCTGTGCGACATCGCCCTCCATTAAAAAAATTTTTCCAAAGAATAAACGTGGCGAGCGTGAGGAAACGCACATTTTTTTCATCATTGTGATCAAAGCCCAATGATGTACCTAAATTGGTACTTACGGTATCAAACCATTGATTATGATAGGGTGAGCTCAGTTTTTCTGTCGAGATCGACGTGACTTCACATTAAAAGCATTTTTGACGGAACAAACTACACTGCACGAACTGAGATAGTAAAAACTTGTAGTTATCTCCCACGCGTTTCGTTTGACAATAGTAGACTTCATCAAGGATTTTTTCAAGTAGGGTAAATAAGCTTGCTCATATACAAATAGTAAATAAGTTGTCTCTTTACTATTGAAGTCAGTGGATAGAATACATCAGGTGCGCCTACGGTGTTATACATGCGTGACATTTTCCGGACGTTACACGTACGAGTACGTGATCCGTTTAAGGGTCACAGATTTAGTGTAAATATTTCACTTCTCAACATCACCCAATGTCTCTAGTTTACAGAGGTCTTAGAACGTTTCATTATATGGAGTTGCCTTCTGCGGATAGAAGATTACAAGCGAATTTCTCAGGCGTAATTGCCTTTGATTTCTCAATTGATGTTGTCACAAACACAGTTTTTGGGATTCACGAGACAAAAAAAACTTATCAGGACCTAGTTTCATGTTCTAATGGAAATAAATAGAAAATAAAGACTCATTTTCTTGAGAAATAAAGTCACAAATGACGGGGGTTCTCTAAAACAAATAGTGATAGAAAAATATTTCAGTTCTGGTCAATATTGACTTTTCATGGCCTACTTCCAAATCTGAGAGAACGTGCTGAGGGAATAAAAAAAACATAAATGTGTGATAATGGAAGCAAGAGAATGAAAATACAAATAAAGAAAAAGGAGAAAACATAGGAACCCGTGTTGCAGCGTGCAGATATCTTTTGAACCAGACCTACACACATAAGCCCGACACCAGCCAGAGAAACTCGAAAGAGTCCTGTATATGAACTAGCTCGCACGTGCACGCAGGAAAGGCCATGACAATCAACAAAAATAATAGCAAATGCAGATGATATTTGCAGTCAAAAAACAGGAAAATAAGATAATAGAAGGATTAGGAACTTTCTAGAAGTTTCTTCTTGAAAAAAAAAGATGAACAATTTTTACTTCTCATAAAAGGTCACGCAGTGACCCTACAAATACTATTCCTATACGTGGAATTTCTTGATGGTGGAAAGTGGAAAAACATTTTCCAGTCTTATTTATTGGAAACATGGCGTAGTTAATGAATTTATGGGGCTATTGATATTTCCTACCGTCATTCGCGGTATGGAAAAGTCGAAGTTGTTACACTCGCGAACTTGTACGTCAACAAGCAGGCGACATGTGACTTTAAAATCTCCCCTCCTGTTACAGTTTCCTTTTTGTAAACTGTGCGATAATGATAATAGACGATCAAAGTATAGGCTAATGAATGTTTTGTTCTGTACAAGAGCCCTATGTCCTGATTTTAGCAAATCTTCAAAGTAATAAACGACTGAAGAAAGAAACGCTACGACTTTCCCATTGATTTTCCGTCAACATGCATCTCTCTAAACGTGAAATTTTCCATTCCTACAAAAAATCTGGAAATTTTTCACATTTTTCACCTTTCTTGATCAATCATCTTGTATAAAGAGATAAAAAATGTAGGTTTATTTTGTCAAGTAACCGCCTAGAGCAAGAATTGCGTGACAGGTGTAGTTGAGAGAAACTTGTCACAGTCGCAGATTTTAAAAGGCATCCAAGACAAAAATACGGTAGTGCCCAAAGATTTTTTTGATGATTTTCAGAGATGAAATGATGGCTTATAAAGGGTAATTAAGATTAGTGTTATAGCTTTCTGGCAACGGGAGATATTTGACCTCAAAGTTGTCAAATATTTAGATGAATCAAAAAGTCTAAAAACACAGTCGTATATTTGCCTCTGTTGATTGACAAGCCGTCGATCAAACTGTCTGATACTCGCGGCGGCCATTATCTAAGGATGTAAAAATATGTGTGCAAATCTTCAAAGTAATCGGTTAAATACCATCGCAGTGAGAGCTTCATACGTTTTACCTATTTGAAGCGATTTCCTTGGTGAAAACCAAGAAAAACCGGGGGGTGGTCTATCTCCCCCCGGAAAAAACCAAAACAGAAATCAGTCTGTTTTTTTTAGTTTTGGGGTAGACCCTTTAAACTGACAAAGTTTCATTGAAATCGGTGAGATGGCATGTAGCACGACTGCCCAGTGCTCTCGTGGACACGCTCTTAAGTCACTATCTAGCTGTTTTAAAAAGAAGGATCAGGACTTACCTAACTCTTAGTGTTTTTGTGGGAGTTGTTGATCCCAATTTAAGTGTTCTTAGAAGTTTCAGTTGTCTGTAAGGCTAAATAAATCTAACTGAAACCTAATAGGGCCTGTTTATTCTTTTCCGTTTAGCTTTTTTGTATTGTTTTGATTTGTCTTTTTTTTTTTCTTCTGGTCTGTAATGATTTCAATTGTTTCAGGTTCTTTTCTCAAAATTGAGCTACAGTAATAATATGCTTCCTTGTGTTGTTGCCTACAGGAGCCGCTGCTTGTGTTGAATTGAAGAGATTTGAAGAAGCAATCACTTGGTGTGATAAGGGACTAGCTGTATCCTTTGAAGGAATCTTTCATTTTTAACCGTGGGTATAATGGAAAAAGTTTCCATGATTTGATGTTTCAAGGGAGAAAATACAAAGAAGGGTATTAATTATGATGGGAACTTGTCAGCTCATATACTTTAAGTGTGTGGGATTAAAAACATAGGAGAAGTTATTACCTCATGACTTATTAATGAAATTACTCCTTTTAGCCAATTTGACCTAGTTCTACTATCCATGCCAATAACTGGTACATTAGTTTAAATAACCCTTTAATTTCCCAGACCAAATTTGTAATTATCCTTACTGTCAACCATACAATTCTTGTAATGTTAGTACAGAGAATTCAGTAATGCATCAACTAACTATTTTTAAATTGATATATTTTTTTTTTACTCTCAACACTTATCTGATTGATATTGTATTGCTATTGTAAGGAGAAATTCTCTTTTGGTCACTCACGGGAGTTAAAGGGTTAGAAGACTAATATTCATCCAGTTTATACATAGTACTTGGGTAGATGATCTCTCTAAAACAAGCCAGAACAAAAAGCTCGGTAATGTTTACATATCTTATGCAGATTTTCTTGCCTTCGACCTTTTTCCACTACTTAGAGACTCGTAAACTTTCGTTGTGCTTTCCTATGGACAAATAACAATTTTAAAGACATGTATTTGTGTTATAGACTCATTTCTTCCACTGCTGTAAAACATTTGTCTGATGTTAAGGCTATATTAATTTAAAAATTGAACAAGTGCTGCTCAGTTTTTGGAAACTAGAGATTAAATGTAGATATTTCGCGTTAAAGTTTGAGGCTGCACACAGAAAAAACATTTTTTGAAGTGTAGATTTACTTCATAACTGACTTTAGGACTGAATGTTGATAAATCATCCACCTTTCATGCAAAGCCCTCCTAATGGGCCATTTTATAGTTGTGTACTTAGCTGCCAAGCCTTTGATTTGGAGTAAGGCTGAAGGTGACCTTGTTGTGATAGAGACCAGTATCTAGAAACGATAATAACAAAGTAGTTTGCATTTAAAAAGCAGCAATGTTTTTATCATAACAAGGTCACCCTTAATCGTGGCTCTTGTTCAGAGGTTTGGGAACCAAGCACGCAAATGTTAAAATGGACTACTACATATCAATATGATCAGAAACATAATCTTTTTTGTTTTTTCCATATTTTTAACCCTTAACATAAAAAAGATCAACAAAAACAATAGGATCTTGTTGTCATTAAGACTTCAGTCTGTCAGTGAAGTGGGAGATAAGTCCATGGAGGAAAAAGATCCTATTAGTCATGAGCCGGGTAGTGCAAGTTCAGGTGATTTCAAGAAAGTCATAGATCTCTATAATCAGGGAGAAGAAGCCATAGAGTACCACAATCTATATCTTAAAAAAGCTCAAGAAGTAGGAGACAAGCATGGGGAGGGTAACGCTTATGGCAGTCTTGGCAATGCTTATCACCGTCTGGGTGATTTCAAAAAAGCCATAGAGTACCACAACCTACATCTTAAAATAGCTAAAGAAGTAGGAGACAAGCATGGGGAGGGTGTTGCTTATGGCAATCTTGGCAATCCTTATCACAGTCTGGGTGATTTCAAAAAAGCCATAGAGTACCCCAACCTACATCTTAAAATAGCTAAAGAAGTAGGAGACAAGAATGGGGAGGGTAACGCTTATGGCAGTCTTGGCAATGCTTATTTTAGTCTGGGTGATTTCAAAAAAGCCATAGAGTACCACAACCTAATTCTTAAAATCGATAAAGAAGTAGGAGACAAGCATGGGGAGGGTGGTGCTTATTGCAATCTTGGCAATGCTTATGACCGTCTGGGTGATTTCAAAAAAGCCATAGAGTACCACAACCTACATCTTAAAATAGCTAAAGAAGTAGGAGACAAGCATGGGGAGGGTGGTGCTTATGGCAATCTTGGCAATGCTTATCACAGTCTGGGTGATTTCAAAAAAGCCATAGAATACCACAACCTACATCTTAAAATCGCTAAAGAAGTAGGAGACAAGCATGGGGAGGGTAACGCTTATGGCAGTCTTGGCAATGCTTATCTTAGTCTGGGTGCTTTCAAAAAAGCCATAGAGTACCACAACCTACATCTTAAAATAGCTAAAGAAGTAGGAGACAAGCATGGGGAGGGTGCTACTTATGGCAATCTTGGCAATACTTATCGCCGTCTGGGTGATTTCAAAAAAGCCAAAGAGTACCACGACCTACATCTTAAAATAGCTAAAGAAGTAGGAGACAAGCATGGGGAGGGTAACGCTTTTGGCAATCTTGGCAATGCTTTTTTTAGTCTGGGTGCTTTCAAAAAAGCCATAGAGTACCACAACCTACATCTTATAATAGCTAAAGAAGTAGGAGACAAGCATGGGGAGGGTAACGCTTATGGCAGTCTTGGCAATGCTTATTTTAGTCTGGGTGATTTCAAAAAAGCCATAGGGTACCACAACCTACATCTTAAAATAGCTAAAGAAGTAGGAGACAAGCATGGGGAGGGTGGTGCTTATGGCAATCTTGGCAATGCTTATGACCGTCTGGGTGATTTCAAAAAAGCCATAGAGTACCAGAACCTACATCTTAAAATAGCTAAAGAAGTAGGAGACAAGCATGGGGAGGGTAACGCTTATGGCAATCTTGGCAATGCTTATCGCCGTCTGGGTGATTTCAAAAAAGCCATAGAGTACCACAACTTAGATCTTAAAATAGCTAAAGAAGTAGGAGACAAATCCTCGGAGGCAATAGCCTACTGTTCATTAGGATTGGTTTTTGAGTTACAAGGTAGACTGCCAAAAGCCGTTGAACATTACCAAGCTAGCATAAACTTATTCAATTCCTTGAGAGTACTTCTAATATCTAAAGATGAGTGGAAAGTTAATTTTCGAAATCAGCACCAAGTGGCGTATACGGGTTTGTGGAGAGTTCTCCTAGAACAAGGTAATGTAGATGAAGCCTTATTTGTTGCTGAGAAAGGACGAGCTCAAGCTCTGACCGACCTCATGGAATCCAGTTTTTGTGGTGGAACAAGTCACCACAAGGGAGAAGATGAAGATTGCGCAGTTTTAAAAAACGTTCCACCAAACACTGTCTTTCAGGCAGTGGACAAAGCTAACGTCTATCTTTGGGTTGGGTCCGAGGGAAAACAAGTTCAGTTAAGACAAAGTAAACTCAAAGATTTTGTTTCAGAGAATAGTGGATCTAGCCTGTCCTTTGAGTCGTTCATGCTCGGTGTCTATACACAACTTGGTGTTCTTTCTAATGTGAGATGCGAGAATGGATCTTTAGATGCTTTGAGGGAGGGCCGTTCAAAAGTGGATAAGAAAACCAAAGAAGCCAAGCCTGAACCTCACATCCAACAAGACGGATGCTTGAGCACTTTGTATGATATCGTTATGAAGCCGGTGGCTGACTTGATTGAAGGGGATGAGCTACTCATCATTCCTGATGGACCCCTGTGGATCGCTCCTTACGCTGCATTGAAGGATGGTAATTCTAAATACCTGTGTGAGTCGTTCACAATCCGAGTCGCTCCATCGTTAGCAAGTCTTAGACTCATTGCCGATTGCCCAGATGATTATCACAAAAGCAGTGATGCGTTACTTGTAGGGGATCCGTGGGTATCCGAGGTTACTAACAGCGAGGGAGAGAAAGTCCTTGAGCAGCTTGAGTATGCTAAAAAAGAAGTAGAAATGATAGGAAACATTCTGAATATCACGCCAATCACTGGCAGACAGGCCACGAAACGTGAGGTGTTGAAAAGACTCAGTTCCGTTTCCCTAGTTCACTTTGCGGCACACGGATGTATGGTAACTGGCGAAATTGCTCTTACACCTGACCCACACCGAATATCTACTGTGCCAACGGCGGAGGATTACATTTTAACAATTGGAGATGTGTTGAATGCTCAACTTCGGGCCAAACTTGTTGTGCTTAGTTGCTGCCACAGCGGCCGTGGCGAGATCAAGGCTGAAGGTGTGATTGGCATTGCGCGCGCTTTTATGGGGGCTGGTGCTCGGTCTATTGTGGCGTCCCTGTGGGCGATTGATGACGAGGCTAATCTTGAGTTCATGAAATACTTTTATCAACAACTTGCAGGAGGTAAACCAGCAAGCGAGTCACTGAACCTGGCCATGAAAAGCCTCAGAGAATCAGACAAGTTCTGCGACATCAAACACTGGGCGCCCTATTTGCTGATTGGAGATGACGTCACTCTTGACTTCATAGCAAAGGACAGAGAAAATTTGAATATGAAATCACATGAATGAAACCTTTTTATTTCATCTCAAAATTAATGACGCAGGAACTTGGAAGGTTTAAATGCTTCTTTATTTTGGCGCTTTTTGGCTATTTTTCATTACTTTTCATTTTTTTGTTAAATGGAACTTGAGATGTCTGACTTTACTTTGATGAAGAAATAAAACAGACTATTTCAGTATATGTTGTTCAGTGGAATTGCTATTTTCTTACCTTTACAAATTTAGATGCTTCCGAAGAGAACAAGATGCAACAAGGCTTCTTCTGTTAATGCCTGAAGTTGTTGAAGGCGACTACGAGGTTTTCGTTTCGCCAAAATGACACTCAGATCTATCCCTTTATTGCAATCAGTTATGTGTGAAATAATTTAAAGGTTTTTTTTCTTGTACACAACCAGGAGCTTGTCCACCGGGTTTTAATTACTTTGATACTCTAAGCTTTTGATAAGAAAAGAAACAGTTTGTCATTTGCAAAAGGTGGCGAAATTTTAATTTCAAAAATGTGATTTGCAAAATTCCCAGCCATATGTGAATTGATCTTAATGGTTTTTCTACGTCATAAATTACTTTGTTGCAATTTGCAATTATCTTTACAAAAAAATTGATTGTCATTTTCAACTTTTTTTAAATCCATTTTAATGCAATTTAATTCCATCAGTGCCAAGATTGCCATTCTAAGCTTAATTTGAAGAAGTAATCATCAGAGATGATGTTGTTGAATTTACTGACCATATGTTAGAGACATTAGACCTACTATCAGGGGTGTGGCCAGCCTCTAGTCCCGTGGGCCCGGCCTACAATTGTTTTCCGCCCGCTTGACTTTTCTGATATGACTCTTACAAATGTTGAAACAAAAATTGAAATTTCTCAGGAAAAAGGCCCACAACAAGTCAAAGAGCTGGCTACAACGGCCTGCTTTCAATCAAACGAGTTTGATCAATTTTAGTCCGTTTTATCAAACACTCATCAGTTTGTTTTAGAGAACGACGACAGAGACAACTTGTCTATGCAATCTAAACAAGGAAATAGCGAAGCAGAGTTTACTTTAACTGAAGTTTCCATTGCTGTGACTTTTAATGTAGGTGACATGGAATTTGCTGCTTTCATTAGGAAAATATTTACGCCAATAAATTAGGGAAACACTTGAAGTAAGCCATGTAGTCCTCAATGGGAATTATTTTGGTGAAAATGTTCGTGAATAAATGTAAATCTAGACCGTAGTTAAAAAGGTTCAGGGCTTCAGGATGAAACTTGCATGTTTTGGAAAATTTCCTGTTCAAATTTTTTTCATGGCTTTAAATTTTTTTCATGGCTTTAAATTTACCTTAGTATAATTTGGAGATGTCTGATGATATCTTTCTTAGATTTAAGAATTTATACTTAGGTATTCAGAGCAAGCTTTGTAATTAGAACCCGTTATGTGGTCAAAAGTTTAAGGTATACTGTATCACAGCTGTTTTAAAAGAAATTTTTGTCAAATCAATGTTAATTTTTGACAGATTTTCATAACTACCATTGGTATATGCTGCCAGTATAAAATGTAATAGTTAACCTTGCACAATGTTGAATATGATGTAACGTAGGATTTTAAAAACAAGCTGGGACAATTTCGACTAAACATTCTTTTAATAATGTCAGTGTATTTGGTGTGAATTGTTTTGATGCTATTTGTATTTAAAGTTGAAGCTATTTGTTCATTTACCTTAGTTTTTATTCATTAACTCATTAACTCCCAAGTTGTGAAGAAAAATTCTCCCAACTGATAAGAATGTGTTTCTTTGTTGCTTCATTCTGAGAATTCGATGAAACATAACTTTTGTAGTGAAAAATAATCCGCTAGTTTAGATTTTCTCTAATTCTTATTGACACCATGTTTGTCGGTGCATTAATTTTGCGAGGAGAATTTAAGTTATGATCAATCTTGGGAATGAATGGGTTCATTTTAGTGTCTCTGTTTAGCGCGTACTTTACTTAATGCCTTGAACAATTTAATGCAGTTTGTATTGTACTTTTTTTTACTTTTTTGGGTAAAATAAATAGAGAGTGTATAAAATACAAAAACTGCGTTTGTTTTCATTGTCTGTCTCCATATTCTAAGGATTTGCGTGAGATGCAGGGAAAACAGATCCTACGGGGACTTCAATGCTTGTTTTGACCCGCGCGCGCCAAGTTGATAATCTTTGCAGCTGACAGTGTACTGACATTCCATGTTTCAAGCCCCCACCCACTTAACAAACGCTCGTCGGCTCTTCGATTGTGTCTCTTTCACTGTCTACCGTTCTCCATATTGTCACACGATTTTGAATGCCGACGGACGTATTCATACTGTTACCTCTGTGCGCCCTTTTTACCTTTTTACACCTTTTCACATTTGTGCATCTATTTTTTTTTTATCCTTCCTTTTGTTCCTTTCCTTTTTTTCATCGTACTTTTCCTTTATTCCCATTTTTACGCGCACTTCTTTCATCGCCCTCAACTTTATTCTTCTACGCGCTTCATTAGACGCGACTATCTCCTTGTCTGTTTCAGTTTTCATTCGTCTCAATCCTCGCGCAACGTCAGGTCTCTTACAACTCATATACCTCCTTACTTCCCCAGAGTAGTTGTTATTATGCTTATTTTGTTCACTTTAGGATGGTGTCCTCTTAGCATCATGTCTAGTAAAATCTTAGTTTTCCTTTCGACTCATTCCCAGTCCACAGGGGGTCTCAATTTTAAGTCTCACTTGCCAGTGTTTGCTCTCCTCGGTCCTCTCATCACAGTAGCAGCTATAAAACGAAAGAGCTCCCTCCAAGTCTCTGCGACATAATCGATGCATTTTGTTGGAAACAAGTCCTTTAATGTCCAAATTAAGGCTTCTTCTGTCATCTGATTGCGAATTAATCAAACTCTCGCCCAGGGTCCACCTACATCGCGAGTCCAAGATAGCAGCAGGCCAATCTACAGACTTCTCCGAGTCGGTAGCCGTCATCTTGGATGTAGACGCAGAGAGGACCTTGAAAAAGTGTTTTTACAAGACAATAATCAAGAAAGGTTAAGTTGTTGTAATGCTTCCTAAGAGGTAGTCGATGAAAACCTTTGCGTCGTTCAAAGAAAACGCAGCATTTTCCAGCGCAGTCGTGACTCGTTTGACTTAAAGACACAGAGATGGCGAGTTGATTAAGGCTTTAAATTTCAAACTCTTAAAGGCGGAAATATATCTGAAACAAAATCATTCACGAACATCACTATTAATTCTGAATAATGTAAATTCGATTCACGTTTACTTTAGATAATAAATTTTACTCCCATTTTGCCAATCATATAAAGAAATCAATACACTAAGCAATGCCTTCAACAAGACACAGTTACACAGTTGTAAATCTCCATCCTCATCCTCAGTAGAACTATGCTATCACAAAGGTGGAATAATCGCGGAAGAATAACCGCGCTTAAGACCTTCCTATATACCAAGGAATTCATGCCACTGGATTCGACATGTGCCAGTAACCTACTTTCACATTTAACGTGACGTTCAGCTAAGATCAGCAAACTGTTTCTTTTTTTCTTCATTTTAAACGATTCCAATCCTAATAGTGGTATCATATTTGCATAAGAAAGCTAATGTCAACTTGAGACTCTGCATTAATTTTTTTTGATGAAATGAAACACAACAAACCAGAGATACCACGTACTTAAAACACTAACCGTTTAAACATTTTCTTCCACATGACGCTCTTAACGGGCTCAACGAGCTGCCAAAATTCTCTTCAAATCCGTTTTCGTTCGTGTGATAGCTTGACTTCTATTTCGATTTGACAGTTCAGTTCGACAGTTTGACTGTTAAACTTTAAATGAAGATTAGTAGACACCAGCTGAATAGATTTATGAATTTGCTTAACGGCGAATGAACGCATTGAAATCAAAATCGATTTTCTTTAAGCTCAGCTCGCTGAACTACAAGTTTGCTGTCAGCTGATTAACGTGGACACTATTTCAGTCCCTTGCATTTCTCATTTCTCAGTGCTTCAGCAATTGAAATTATATTCATGAAACAGGGACGCATTTTGTGACACAAATCTTGGCAATGACTGGTGTAAGCCGCAAAGGTACAACGGACGATTACTGGTCATTCTGATTTTTCGGTCATTGCTAACGTAGTACTTGTGGTCATAAGCATCATCCTAAGCAGGCCCTTGCAAAAGTTTCACCAAAACTGCAGAGACCTGGAGATTTTCGCTTAAACACACAACATTGGGGTAATATCAAGGTAAGAAAAAAAATTGTTTTTAATTTTAATGAAGCCTTTTGAATTTTCTGAAACACACTTGCAAGTGCAATGACAGCTGAATGTTCCTAATAAAGACGAAATAACCTTGGCTTTGCTCTCTAAAATAATGACTTAATATTTAGAAAGCAATCATATGATTTGAGTGATCAGTTCCGTAATGTTTACCCTGAAACGGCATTTAAAAAATTGAAAACCATTTCAAGCTTCCGCACAGAACTCATGTTGTGCTTCTTGTGTTGTTTCGCTGCTCGTCTTTCTTCGTCCTTTAAAATGATAAGTTTGTTTGGGTCATTAGGATTAGTTTTTTTTTAGCAAAATAACTGGCCAAGCTATGACTGCCCTATTTACCGGACCAGGTAGGAATTTGCATTAGCTGATCTTTTTTATTTTTTTCTCAGTTTAACACAGAGAACTCTTGCACAATTAACTTTCAGCACCTTTGCTCTCTCAAAGTTCAGAGCCCTCTTACTTCATAACTTTTTCATTCAGTACGATGGTGTTGTAGTCTTCACGGCTTACTGTTATGAAAAATTCCTAAACTACACAGCATTGAATCGTCGCTGTTAAGTGCTTCTTAATAATTGTGTGCTGAATATAATACGCGCCAATCAAAGCAACATGTCCATTTACTATGAAGCGAAACTGACGACGTATATCTAAAAAGTTCTGCTTTGATTCTTTTTTATCTCGTAGTATTGATCAAAGGATCAACAGTTTTTAAGGAGAGATCAGTGTATTGTGTTTCAACAACGAAGTGATTGAACAAATATTTATGGAAGAGTTTACGATGACAACCCGTGTGGACATAGACGAGCATGCATCACTCCTGCACCGCTCAAGCTATTACCTGCCTCTTCCAAACGAAGACAGGCAAAACAAAAGATCCATCAAACTGTGGGCTGTAGGCTTTGCCTTGCTGTTACTATGGAATGTTGGTGGCCCATGTGTGTACATGATTCGTAGTGTAAATTGTTTCAAAGACAATTCCACTGTCTATTTTTGTGAGAAAGGCGCGACGTTTCCATATTCCGAAGAACTGGTAATAACATGGCTTGCTAAACTCTCTGTTTTCACAATCATCATCATGTTGGCATTGCAGAAAGTTCCAGATTTTCTTGGATACAAAGCCATCCTACATCAGCTGAAATTTCTTCCCTCCTGTTGGACTCTGATAATTCTTTTGTTTGTATCCTTGACCAGATACATCAAGCCCGCTATATCTGCCAAATCCATCAATTCCTGGATGATATTGATGGGTTTGGCTTTTTGAATTATACGCAGTTGAATTTTTTGAAGCGTCAATATCCCAGTTATATCTATGTGTTGTCAAAACTTTCCGTGCTGGTGTTATTTGCCATCTCTCTAATGAACTTGCTTGCCACCATTTTAGAACTTACTGTTAAAATTCATAAGGTGCATCGGTCTATGGGAGCACAACACTCAGAATATTTTGAAATGATAAATGATCTCCTGCGTGGCTTTGGTACAACCACTTTTAGATTCAAAATGACGAGTTTCTTTTGGCAGAAACTTTTCATTGATGATAAGAATATTCTCTCTAACCAAGCACCTTTGCAGTGATAACATGAATGATAGAGCAGTAAAACAGAGAGTGTATAGATTGGTTGGAGTGACGGCTTCTCATCCCATTTGGCGCAATTTTCGGTTGAGTATCGAAACTAATCGGAAATTTAATTTGCCTCACCACGCTCTGTGATTGGTCCAGAAAATTTAAACTCTCGCTCCCTTCGGAACTAATCAGATGCAACGCTAAACCCAATTGCGACTCGTACCCTCGCGTGTTTCCACGACCTTTGCAGTTTTGCTTGGTTTTACTTTAAATTCGTATCTGTTCTTTGAGATAATTTCCTCTCCTCTGATTGGCCGATGTATTAACTTTGGCTTTGGTTTCAAGACACGCAATCGAAATGCACTATTAGGAATTCTATGGGCGGCCATCACCACCAAAAATACAATGATGTCAAATAGATCAGCAAATACAAAGATGGCTTAAGGATCAGTTGCAGGATAGCATAGCTAATAAAGGAATGGCATGGCTAAATTATAGACAGTCTAGTTTTCCTTAATAAAACAGAACACCATAAACAGGAATAGTTTAGCCAAATGAGAAACGGTCTAGTAGCCCATGTTGAGTTGGAACATGAGATTGTGAAATGGACTAGCTCAATTACGAATAGCTTAGCACTCATTTGCAATACAGTACTCAAATGGTGTAGCGTTGCGTTAAACGGCTCAGGGAAACGTCGAGTAGCACAGCCTACGCACAAACGGTGTAGCGTTGCGTCAAATGGCTCAGCGTAATGTAGAATGGTACAGCGTACACACATATGGTGTAGCGCTACGGGAAATGGCTCAGCGTAATGTCGAATGGTACAGCGTACATAAAAACAGTGTAACGTTGTGTGAAATGGCTCAGAGTAATGTCGAATGGTACAGCGTACATACAAATAGTGTAGCGTTGCGTGAAATGGCTTAGCGTAATGTCGAATGGTACAGCGTACACACAAATGGTGTAGCGTTGCGTGAAATGGCTCAGCGTAATGTAGAATGGTACAGCGTAGACACAAATAGTGTAGCGTTAGGTCGAATAGCTTTGCAAAACATCAGACGCTCTATCTGAACATTAAATTGCTTAGTATTACTTGAAATATTTCGATGTTGTGGCGAATCGTCGTGGCGTGACGTGAAGGCCATGCCACTCCTTTATTAGCTATGCTATCCTGCAACTGATCCTTAAGCCATCTTTGTATTTGCTGATCTATACGACATCCTTTATTTTTGGTGGTGACGGCCGCCAAGGCATCTCGCCGAAACCACCAAAAATACAAACCGCAAATGGAACAGCGATCTGCTGGGGGCATGACGTCATCGAATGTGAAGACTGGCACGAAACCATTACATGGCGTAGCCGCTGTATGGAATAGTCTTCACTTCGCTTTGCCGTAAAGCAGAGCCAATTCGGTAAGTTTCTCCTCTTTTTTTCCCCGCCATATTGCATTTATTCGTTTTCGTTCATGATAGTGTTAATTAAAATAGCGAGACTGGATTCTACCACGGTTTACCGGCCTCCCGGTTTACCACAGTTTGCACGTGTTGGTGGGCCTGAATATGTTTATAGTATTCAGAAGTTTATGATGTGCATTAAATGTCAATTGTCGAACTCCCTTTTCTTTCTGTGACTCACGCTTACTTTTCAATGAGAGTCCAACTTCAACGACTCTTTGAACACTGGAGGAGTACGTGAGAAGTTGAATATTGTATGTGCCCTGGACGCCATGGTAAGTAAACTGATATCCTTGATCTGTTTTGACATTTTTCGATCAAAGTGATATCGGAATGCTTTAATTGGTGTGCCGGACGATAAGAGTAAGCTCATAGAAGACTGTTTATATTTATTATTTTAAAGAGGTGTAAATTATATTGCTTTGTTTATTAACTTTTTTCCTGGGTGCTGTGATAGTAAAAGTAAGTTTCATCTTTATTTTGTCGATCAAACGTAGATTACATGTCTGGACCGGAAACAGTTAAAGGGTTTTTTTCGCGTTCCAAAAATAGTGTTTGTCAAGGTAATATTTTTTCTGAGTTGGTTTTGCGCGCATACATACTTATCTTCCCTGTGCTCTTTCCCATTCCGTAGTCATCACGTATTAAGGAAGGCTAGTGCGGACATCGTAATGCACGTAGTTGTACGTAATTGTACAACTCTAGGTCGAGTTTTACCGTTCGATCTGTTACAGTCGCAACTTGCTGAATTAAAAACTATTGCATAATTCAGACAATTGACAGGACATCTTGCTGTTTCGTCGTTTGTTTCGGTAGACATATTTATTTATATTTTTATTTAATTTTTACATTTCTGTACCTCAACTATTAATTTTTGTGATTATTATTATTATTATTATTATTATTTTTTATTATTATTATTGCTACAGACTGAGTTCAATACACACTAGATATATTGACTAAAGTTGCGTGACTTGTAACGTTTCTCTTCTTACCTTTAGGGCTAAGCAAAGAAAACTTCCAGATGATGAAAAAGCAAAGAAGAAAAAAAAATTAGTGCTTGCTTTATAAGTGGCTCGTCTCCATCTTATGAATTTTTTTCTTCACAGGTATCGTTGTTTGTTGTCCTTCAGTACTGTTAAGAGTCATGGACTTTCGGCAGCATTTATCAGATTCCCTAAATGAAATAACTGAATATATACAAGAAGGCGGAAATCGTGGAGGTGATTCAGAGAATACTGTTTTAAGACTGGAGGTTCTTTACCAGGCAGCGTTGATCAATGGGGACATTCCTTTAGATGCGGTTGACTTAAACAATCAAGCTCGTACACACCTGAACGTAAACTTGCATCAACAAGAGCCTTTTCGTGGGTATGAAGCACCAGCAGTGAGTGAGGCAGGTCGTCGAGGAAGACCTAAGTTTGTGATTTCCGAGAAGCAGCTGCTATTTTTCAGAGGTAAGGAGGAAAAAGTGCTTTTACCATTTTCAGGTTGAAAATTTGAAATGAAAATAAGGTAGACACATTTGAAACTATCCATATATGCCCCATATGAAGTGAGTGCTTTTTTTTTCCGAGTTGATAGGTTTCGCCAAACCACGTTTTTTGGTTATTCATAACATCTTTAGTGAGCTCACCTTTTGAAGGTTTCATTCAATTTTCAGTGTAAACTATCTACTCTCAAAGGACTGTGTTTTCTTCTATGAACACTCGTTATCTTTTTGTTAGAGAACAACTTCACGTATAAAGACATGGCTCTAATGCTTGGGGTTAGCAAGCGAACTATTGAAAACCGTATGGCCGAGTACGAGTTGACGAACAAGTCCCGCTACAGTGACATAGAGGACGATTTCCTGGATTCTTTAATCCAGCGTATCATGACAAATTTCCCTAGATCGGGTAAGTAAGTCTTCATAGAAATTTTGAGGCTGTGGCCGGTCATGTTCAGTCAAAAAATAAAAATTTTTTTGCCCTTAGCTTGGTAAAGAACAGTTTGAGAACCAGTACATAATGACGCAACAATTTATTCCTCTGGAACTAGACATGATAAACATCTGAATTGAGAAATTTTCTCGTTTGCCTTTATTTCTTTCAGATTGCAGAAATTAATTAAACCTTTTCGGCCGATACGCGTTATTGCTTGAACACCTCAAGAAACGTAGACATTATCACACTTAGCAAACGCAAACATGCTTCTTTCTTCTTAGAGGTGGAGACTAAGGAGTGCCATAAAGAGAGTCGATCCCATTGGTAGGAGGCTAAGGTCTATGAATGCCATCCGTAGACGAGTGTATAACGTACGTTCCCCACTGGCCCTCTGGCATATGGACGGGAATCACAAACTGATCTCACTATTTTGAGGACATAATTGTTGTTATAATTCAGGTCTCAATAACTTTGCAGGAATAATCACAAAATAATCACAAAATACGTACTGCAGAAAACAAAAGTCCTTTACAACTGTTCATACTAGGGATGCAAGAAATTGCGGAAGAAAGTAGTATTGTGGCATCAGAATACTTTCAAAACCTTAGTCAGGTAAACGTAATAATGCATATGACAGACACAGTTCCCCAAGCATTAAAGCCACACGGGTGAACAATCTCAAGTGGCCTCTACTAAATATTGAGTTTTAATTAACCACCCCTTCAATTTAAATATAGATGACGATCGAAACGATGCCAAGAGTCCTTGCTTGCAAAGTTAATTTAAGGCAGTCATAACCAATGCTTTGCGGTATTTGAATCTCCTTTCAACTATATTTCAGAGGGACTTGGAAGGATACGGTGTGGATCCTACGGCTTACTTTCATGACGGCACAGATGATGCACTACAGAATGAGGTTGTCGTCCGACCGACACGGTGTCCGTTAGATGCTAATTCGTTTACGATTTTTGAGGCAAGCATGTCAGAAGTTCAAGGCGAAGATTCATGGGACATTACACCATATCTGCATGCACTGGAAACGATGAATCGTCTGAAAACCTAGGTTTTAACATTTTGTATAATGCACCAGTGTACGCCACTTACGTTAATGTACTCCCCCCCCCCCATCCTATCATCTTATTTTTCTATTTCGTTGGACAATGTGTTGTTTTTTGTTTATTTCGGTTACACCGGGAAAATGAGTATACTTGGCATCAATCATAATGTATCCTATCGTAATCTGCGATTTCATGTCAGCTTGCGATAACCCCAACCTAAGCTGAGTGGGACTGGTGCTGAAATAGTGAGAGGGTGTAACGTCTGACTATGAATAGACAGCACACAGATAACATAAAAGATAACATTTTAATACCAAAATGTATCGATTGGGACTTTTAAACAGTATAGTAAGTGAAAACGTAACGGCTTTAGGAATTGCGCAATAAATGTCCTTCGCTTTACTTTTGTTTGGATGAGTATTTGGCAACATTAACACATAAACTTTGTTCTTTTCAAAGTATTTTCATTTCGTTCATCTCAGGCCCATTTCAACGCTATTAAAATCTTCATCATAATCGGAATTCAATAAAGGGCAAACACAAACATATACACAATATTGCTTGTATGAGTTGCACCAACTGACCCTTTGGTGTACAGCCTAAACTAACGCTCTTTTTTTAAACTAGACTTTTAAAGTTTGTGTAATGAACACGAATTTTCGCCTCAACAATGCTGCTGTAAACTAAATTCAACTTATAAATTAAAAAACACTTTGTCAAAGAGAATCAATCAGAAATCAGTAGTTTCACTTAGAGAAGGCCAAAGTAATCATTTTCGAAAGCGTAGTCAAAGAAAGAGAACACTTCTTCCTTGGTCATTGATACATTCTCACCTATCGGCAAAGTCAGCCTGCTAATACAAGTGTTGCCCATAGGAAGGCAAGATGGCATATTCGTATCAAAACAAATAGTGGGCTTCATTTGGAAACCCAGAACAGGCTCGTTCTCGCATCCAGTGACGAACTTTAAAATGCTACAGAGAGATATATTGCCATCTACCCCTCTTCCAGCTAAAAAGAGAAAAAAAACAAAAATTAGTAATGCACTCATAAAGCTCTGAATCCCAGTTCTTTTTGCGCGCTCTGTGGAAAATTTCGATTGGCATAAAGCAAAGTTACAACTGTCTAGCCAGTGATGTTTCTTAGACTAGAGAAAAGAGAACGACAGTTACCTGACACCTCTTTCAAGTAATTCAGGAAGAGTCTGTATGTTCGCTCTTCCCGCTGTCTTTGGTTGGTCGCTTCGTCGGAAAAAAATAGGGTCCAGCAGTTTCACCAGTTTGGGGTATGTCATAGGCAGCACTGCTGTCTTTCGGAAGAGGAATGAAAGACTCGGTTTCCCATGAAGGAGCTAACAGCAATTAAGAGAAAAGCAAGATTCATTTTCTTGGAAAGTATTGAATCTATGTAAAATTGTTAGAGATCAAGGGAATACAAATCTCTTGTGTGAGTAAGAGAGGATCAAAGAGAAGAGAGGGCATCCTACATACAGTCCCTATTCTTCTCCAGCCATTTTTAGACCTGCTCCCAGACTGCAGAGATCCAAAGTGGATTAAACAACTGCCTATCACATGTAAAGAAATGTGTAGGGTTTTTTCGTCGGAAGCGCTTGAAGAGAAACTGTCCTTATTTAGCGAGAGTCGGTAAAGGTGAAGACAGGACCATCAGTTACAACCGGTCACTGTGAAATCTTACCTCAACGAGTCCGAATCTCTCGAGTCCTACCCGAAATTGGGTTTCTGCTTCCCCAGATTAGTCAATCATCTTTTTGAAGATTCGCTGAAGCTGGTCTTCAGCAAGGAAAGTAGGCAAAGGACCACCTTGCAACAAACTGAAACCTGCAATAAAAAGGTAAATTGAAATTCTTGTGTGCTCAAGTGAAATTGACATAGGTGTCTCAGTAGGCTTTGCATATTTACCAAAAAAAAGAGGCCAGCTCCATAATAATGTTTCCTGTCTAGTGCTTCTTTTTTCTCAAAAATGATGTAGCCTTCTCTTTCTTCCTTGAAGAGCTTGTCACGTATTTCGCGCATCACCATGCCCAAAAATTCCCACCTTGGACCACCATAATCTTGAGCGCCCTCGCCGGTGAAGATCACCTCTAAAGGTACACTGAAATCAATCGCTAGCGGATCATCCCTCAATATCTCTTCCATAGCATCATCGAAGAGGCGGTAACGAGAGACAAATATCTCCGTGGTCTTTCCCTCACACAGTTCAGAGTAATTTTGAAGGTCAAGCATTCGCCCTCGCTTTAACCTTCGCCTGAACTCCCCTAAGACTGTAACAGGCTCGTCACAAGTAGCCCTGAAATAAATTTGAAATGATCAAAGAGGCGTAACGCCCGTGAACTTTGAATAATTCCCAAAAGTATGCCGGTAACACCTGTATTAAACCGGTCTGCTAACGAGCAGTCGGCCCGATTGTATTTAGCTTCTTACACTAATAGTTGAGTGCCAGAGTCAAAGTAGTAAAATCAACCAACGGATCTCTGCACATAAAGGGTTGTGCTTAGAGATAATTTCCTCTCCTCTGATTGGTCGATGTATTAACTTTGGCTTTGGTTTCAAGACACGCAATCGAATTGCACTATTAGGAATTCTATTACTTTCTATCTATGCGAACGACCGAGAAAATGGCTCTAACCAATTGTAAATAGCCCGTTCCCCATCTCTCTGGTTAAAAAAGCACAGGACATAATATTCGTGTTTTCGTGTCTCAAGCGAAATCATTAGTTACTTCTTAGATGTTTCCCTTAACATATAAACGGGCTTAAATCCTAATATACCAATTTCATTTCATTTTTATTACTGAGACTCATTATATTTTTATTTGCTTGCTCTTTTTGTTACGTACACGTTCAAACGCAAATAATTTAGTGTTTAAACCAATAAAAGGTGAGTTTGATTCAAAGGTTTTGCGCATCCTCAATGCACATATTTATAGTGCAAAATCGTCGCAGTGAACGGCTTTCAACTTGAAAAGCGCTTAACTCCAAGTGGCACCATGAGTGTTCATGTCAATCAGGAGAATCTCGGGCGTATTCATCGATTCCCCCGCACGAAAATTGGAATGGTTTTAATCTAATCTAAAATTTCTTTGCTAATGGGGAGTCTACATTTCTATCAGTCTGTTCTAAACAGCGAAAGATTAGTCTTTAAACGCAGCTAAATAATTTCCGCCTGAGTGCAACACCAAATCAACACGCCGCTAGTTGTATGTTAGTGAATATTTTATAATAGTGGTGTCTACGATAGTGCGTGACAGTCTGTCACTCCATTAAGCAAGAAACAATAAAGTTCCGCAAAGAAACTTGTGAAAAACAAAAGTAAATGCGAGTTGAAAAGAGTCTCGTAAAATAAATACCTGCTTTAGAATGTCTGTTTTTAAGGAGTGCGTGACTCGATATCGAGACCACGTGAGAACTCGTAGGAATGGAGATGCTTCGTGACAAAAGTCACGCATTGAGACCCTCATGCTGCTTTTTTCTGTTTTTAACCCCATTTGTCGAGGGCATATATATTAAATGTAATTCAGGCTAAGTTAAGTTGATGGCTACTACTACCTGTTGTAGTCATCTTTTTATATGATAGCGTTAAGACAGAAATTTAGTAACAAACATTTCTTCACATCTTTAGTGGCTATGGAGAGGATTTCAACTGAAGTCCCAATTCGTGGACGTTGAAACAGCTGACAAAGAAATTAATCAGGATGTTAATGAAGACTACTTACGAGGTTCGCTTTAAGCCAAAGTTCAGTTACTTTACTACAAGAACATGCACTGTGTATTCCGGCTGTATGTAGATCGTAGCAGAGGCACAGCTGCATGCATGATCACCCCGTGGGGTGTGCTTCCTAGTTATAGGTCACGATCACGACCGAACTGACTATCGACTATAGCATTTTCAACAGAGTTGATTACAATAATGGGGTCGCACATTTTCGAAATTTGGGGGTAAGACAAGTCTAAGAAAGTAGGCCGATTAAATGACGGAAAGTTCGCAGTTAGAAGGTCGTTCCAGCGCGTATTACCAAAAGTGACTAAGATGGGGTCGATAATTAGCCACAGAATAGACTATGATGGGGTAGGGGTTCACTCGACGCTCACCACAGGAAAAAATTAATTCTGTAGCCTCATCGTCCTTGTCCACTGGACTCAAACAGCCTCACTCCGGTAATAACCTTTTTCACATTTGTCTATTTTAGCTTGTTAGCGAATAAATTTATACCCTCATCATCTTGCCGCAATATCAGTAAGTAAATGATATTTCATAACAAAAGGAATAACAAAAATACAGATAAAATGCATCATTTTACGCGACGGCACATTTACCGTCTAGACAGTAAGAACCATAGCTGGGAAACGTGATAAAGCGATTCATTGTTTTAAGACGACGAAACTAAAACTAAAGGGCGCCTAAAAACTACATAGTTTTTATAGTTTTGAGGCGCCCTTGAGATTCTTATCCTATTCAATTTCAAGCTTGACTTTTCCATTTCACTTATGTATTTTTGGCGGTTACGGCGTAAACCAACTGAACCAACCGCTGTAACACGAAACCATTTCGGTTTGTAGGAAACCATTTGTCGTCACGCTAAACCATTTGGGGTCACGCTAAACCATTTCACTTTACGGTGAGTAGATTGATGCGATACTAAACCATTGCGGCTACGATTAACCATTTGCCGATAACCTAGGCCATTTCACACCACTCTGAACCGTTTTTTGTCAACTTACTGAACCAAAGTACAGTTAGCTGAACCGTTTGTCATTTCGACACTGAACCATTTCAGTTAACACTTGGCCACTCATGTTTTTTATTGAATCAGTTCAACAAGTGTGGCTACACAGCTCCCCAATTGTATAAACCATTTTTTGTTTGAATATTTCATTTCACCAAATGCGACTTGTCCGTTTGTATTTTAAATAAATCTCTTAGGATAAGATAAATCGTTCTCCAAAAGACAATTAGACTCTATCTGTTATTACAAACCAATTCTATTTTTGTATTTTTGGCGATGACAGCCGCCCATATGTGGGCTCTTCTTTCAAATTCAGTCGGAGAATTTCCGGCTTCAAGCTTGCACAGATTTATGGGCCATGGAACTCCCTGTTTCATTTTCACAACATGCTGTTGCAATTATCCGTTCCATGACATAGCTTTCGAGTCTTTCTTAGTACTTTCTCTGTCTTAGAGACTTTGAAACGTTTTCATGACGGACTGAGGAAGCAAGGTCGTAAAATAGTCAAACGTGCCTTCCATTTCCGCGACAGAGGTAAGAACGCATGGTTGTATCAGATTATTGAGTGTAAGGTAAATACTTTTATTTTAAATTTTTTTAGTTGAGATTTCCTCCTTCAAATGTTCCTCATCTTTCCGAGCTTTCTCTGATTTCCGACAATGAAAGACGTTCCTGCAGTTAAGTGACGACGATTGCCAACTTTTACTTTATTCTGGCGTGTATTAATTGTATTGCCGCTTCGTGTTAGTTACAAGCTTATTAAGCTGAGCTTGTTTGAACAAGTTACAGCTGTCGAATTCACAAAAATTCGCAAGCAATGCCTGGCATTTACCTTGGACAAAATAAGTAATTCGGGAGAGTTACAAAGGATATCCAAATTATCGATTTGATTCAGTAAAAGCCTTTTTGATCGCAACACTTTCAGTTTCGTTTGCGTGTCATGTGGAGCATGTACACAATCGTGTTTGGCACTAGCTTTCATGTCGGGCTTATGTACGTATTAACTTAATTTGCTCCCGTATTTACGATGCATTTGATCAAAAAGCGATAAACATTTTCAGCGTATTTCATGTGTTTATGTTTATCATTTTATGCTGTAGTTTGAAAGTGATTTTTTCTTTTCGATAGACAGCTTAGATTGTCCTTCCAAACTGTACTGTTATACTGATTTCCTTGTTAAATATTGAGACAAGTTGATTTTTCTTCAAATTCAGCTAGTTATTTACTGCAAGAGTCCTTTCAATTAACTGCATTCGAGTTTTAGGAATCCAATTCATCAACTGGTAATGATTGATTAGTGTCTGAGTGAAGTTTTACCTTTTGTCATCTGCTAATCAACATACGATCAATCAATAATCATATCAACTGAATGTTTCCGATCAATTGTCTTTTTTTTATCAAAACTGGTTTAGTTCTGCATGAGGCTGCATGCATCCAAGTATGTGTTTGTTGATAATTTATGTTGTTATAATTATGGGAAGGTAGTCTTGGGATAAATGTAAAGTTCTGATTGGTTCTTACTTGGTCAGGATTTTGCCACATGGACCATCATTGCACCATACAGAAAATTATAAAACATGTAAATTCATTGTAAACTAGTTTAGTCCAAGTGACATTGGTGCATGACAATTACCTTGCTCTCTTGAGGGGTTCTGGGGAATATTGGCACCATGTCATTCCTTTTCTGTTACAACCTTGGGCCAATATACCTCTGTAAAGCCCTGGCAAGCAGCTGGTTATATAGAAGTTTGTAGTGGTTTTTGTAAAAGCGATGTACACTTACAGGCTATTTTGAATTCCAGTTCAATTGACTTCCTTTGTTACTCCACATTTATTAATTTTTTTTGTACATGAAGACAGCCAGCAAAGATTATTTGATATTTAAAAAACAACCAGTCATGATTACTAGGAGAATTAAAGTTAGTATCAAAGACAAATCAATTTTGTGCACAGACAATGTAAATATGGAATAACTGAAAAAACAATTAGTTAAATATACATATACTAATAAAGCAAAAATGTCAGCACCTGTACCAAATTTAAATCCATTTCAACATACATCAGCATGCATAAATGTAAATATTTCACTTTCCTTCCCAAAATTAGGAAAGGCACACCAGTAAAAAACGAATGGGCATGAATGGGCATCAGCTCAACTGTAGGAAATTGAATAAATGAAATACATCTTTTATAAGTTTTGACCAGTAATCCTTATTTAAAAATCAAATAAGAAAATTTTACTTTGGTGTTGTAAAATTTGTTTTTTATGAGAAACGATTCAGCATAAACTCTCTCCTCTTGCGGAGACATGGTGGTCTTATGATTAGTGAGGTGGACCCACGGTCAAGAGGTCGGTCAGCATTAGATTCCATCCACCAAAACTACCTTGGTCAAGAGGGACTGAGATGGAATATTTAATGACTTGCAAAACATAACCGAAGATTCTCGGAAATCCGCAAGTGATGTAGCCGAACATCCGAAGCTGTAAATCCCATGATTC